AAAGGTGGCAGATCATGCAAAATCCCAAGTTTTGTACGTTTTGTTACATTGCTCCCTGGTCATAAACAGACCTGGAGTTGTGTCTAGGAAAGGCAACTATACAGGTGAAATTTGGGATTATTAGAATGTCCCAAATCCTAAATATTTCTGTAGTTTAACTTACACTGTGAAACCGATATATGAAATAGAGTAATTACACATTCCAAGTTATTGATTACTATAATGTTGTCACCTGCATATGAAAGCCAGATTTCATCATACCTCAGAGGCTAAGCAGGGCAGAGCCTGGTTAGTACTTTGACACTTCACCCACATTGCCCGGAATGAGTCTGGTGTGTGTGTGAATGGCTGGTGGTGGTCAGAGGAGCCAATGGCACATACAAGTAGCCTCGCTTCTGTCAGACAGAAGTGATACAGCCAGTATCTGCCATCACACACACACATACACACACATGGTGGCACGGTGGCTGAGTGGATAGCACTCTCAACTCTCAGCCAGAAGGTCCTGGGTTCATATCCTGGTCGGAAATAGTTCTTTCTGAGTGGAGTTTGCATGTTCTCCCGTACTCCAGTTTCCCCTACCACTAAAAACGTGCACACTAAGGATAAATCCTCCAGCTCCAGTCCTGACCAAGCCGAGCACCAACATCTGGAGATGGGTTCCTGTAAGCTGTACTATGATCACTGCCACGTATGCCTTAGCGGCATCAGGATGGGTCAAATGCGATGGCCCTTTGGGGATCAATAAAGTGCACATTTAACACACACACACACACAAGAGTGATTCCAGGCATGTGGTTTAAGTGTCTTGTTTAAGGACAAAACAACAGTTTGGCACTGACAGCCACAGCCATCCTACTGTGGCACCTGTCTCCCATCACAGTACAAAGCTTAGATTTTAACGTCTCTCTGATGGGATCTGGCTTTCACATGCAGATGGTGTGACATTTTAGAATTATTCATATGTAATAAAATAGTATATGACATACTGTATACATTAAAGGTTGTTGCTTTAGGTTCCAACACTGACCCAGCGAAGAGCCACATTCATATGAAATTCAAATACATGAAATAACGACAGTAAATATATTCTTAAAATCACAAAAAGGATAAAAGCTGCACACTCATCGTTACTTCCACTTTAAAGTATTAATTTATTGAATTTAAGTGTGCAGAGACTAAACATAAGAAGAATCAATAAAATAAACATTTCAAAAGTGAAACGGTCATCTGAGGTTTTGAGCTTTCACAAAAACAGATTGATTAATGACATTCCAATTCTTATCATTATAATTTTCCTGTCACTCATTTAAAACTCACATCAATGTTCCGGCCACATGACTTTGATTTGTTTTATTTATTTTTAAAAGTTTAAACCACTTTTTTTTCTGCACGTCCACAACCCACAACATAAATGTAATGGGTTTATATATTCAACCCTTTAGGCGACCGCGTTTAAAATAATAAATATATTGTGTAATAGACACAAAGTGACACAATGTAACTCAATTTTGCACGACTTCCATCAATAACAGAGATAGTACATAGAACCAAATAATGAAAGAAAATGTGGGCAGATGTCTGTGGAAGCCCCCACCCCACACACACTAAGGTTTTCTCGGTGTGCCTCCCAGTTCTCCTTTGGCTAAAGTTGCAGCCTGTGATGCGGGTAGTAACTGTTAATGGGAGATTTTTCAATAGTTTTGTGGCATCGTGGACCGCAGACTGTGTGCAGAGGGGGAAGGCGAAATAAAATGGGAATACTGCCTTCTAGTGGAGACTGAGGGGACTTTTAGATCAGCGTCTTCATCTTGATACACGCACACGCATGCACACACATAAACACGCACGCACGCACGCACACACGCTACATGCAGACTACAGTTGTGCTTGAAAGTTTACACACCTAGGCAGGAATAATTTCACTCAGTATCAGTGGTTGTGCAAAGCTATTTAAAGACAATGTACACAATGGACTCTATAATCCTATTTTTTGATGGCGCCTCTAATCCTACTTTTGTTGTTGACTTTATTTCGAATTATTAATTGTGCAATACAATAACAACAAAATAACATATTTATACATTTCATTTCAAAAAGGTGTATAGGTAGAAGTAAATGATATGTTTCCTGTCCTTTTTCACATTGTCTTTATTGTGTTTCACAGTATCACAAATGATTCAATAAAATTTACAGTCAGAACTTCTCTATTTCTCTCAATTAGAATTCTTACCCTATTTGTGATATATACTGGGACATCTAAAGCTTTTTTTAATGTATAGACAATGCAGGGAAGTGTCAGCGACTCAACGACCACTTGGCACTTTAGTTTCATGTTTAGATCCAGGACTTTTAAGGACATTTATTAATCTTTATGGACAGTGGTCATCCCGCTCCATATGGACCAATGGCTCCTATGTGTTATTATTGCATTTTAAACTGTTTTTGAAATGTTTAATTCTCTGATTTGTAAATTCCTCTTAGATTTGTTTTGTTTTAGAGCCATACAACAAATACAATGAATTGAAGAGATCTACAATGGCTGTATCTGTGCTCTGGTTGGTGTGGAGTGGATGAGGTAGATGATGTCGTACCTCGAAAGACAAACGTGATAAACACTTTCAATAAATCGCACCCACGAATTCTAAAGAATGGAATATTTTTGTGTCGTTTTTATAGTTCCCTTATTGTCCTGAATGTCAGAGCAGTGTGCAGTGTTGTAAAGCCTTTTGTTTGTGCAGCGCTGTTACGCACACGCTGCAGTAAACACACACTGACTCACACTGGAGAAAGCGTTCAAACAGAAAAATCATGCTTGTGCTTACACTTGTATGCTTATACTTGTGTCTTTATTAAGCTAAAGATCATGATTTCGTATTACATATCTATATGGAGTTGTATAGAGTTTTGCTACACTTCATATTCACTTACCTTCTTGTGTGCTCCTTATCCCCATTCTTCTGTGATATAGCAACTTGTGATGCAACACTGGAATTTCCCCACTGTGGAACAAATAAGGCATCTCATAATCTCCTCTCATTAGAACCTGGAGTTTTTTTACAGCCATCCTTACTACAGTAATAATAGGAACTTTCGTCACAAATATGTCGCTCTGCCCCTTCTGTGTCCATCCATCCATCCATCTTCTTCCCTTCCCCTTAATCCATTTCTGGGTCGGGGGGGGGTGGCAGTCAGAGCTGCACGCAGTACACATAGCACCAGCCCCGCACTGATCCTCCTGCAGATGGTGAGTCCACGGAAGCCTTGATATTCCAGCGGGGGCTTCAGGCAAAGTGGGTTAAGTGTCTTGCCCAAGTACACAACGGCAGTAGACATCAGTGGGAGTCGTGAAGTAGGTCTTGTGGTGGGCTCGAACCCACGACCTTCAGGCCCAAAGGCCAAAGCTCCCTTCTGTGTCACTGATGTTATTTCACATTCTAAAACATACAAAGTAAATAGTCTCAATAGCATGTTTAACCCTTCGTTTGTGTAAACATGGAGGCAAGTGTGGCCTGAGAATGTGGTTGTCAAAGGGTTAATGGTGAAAAATTATGCATAATATTTCTAATTTAAGAGATAAAAATAAGAACACGAAGAGCTTTGAGTAAAAAGGGTGTGCAGGAAAATGTGAAAAAATGCATTTGCGCATGCGTTAGCCAGCATTCATTTAACGTATGACTTCAAAAGTCCATAGCGGCTAACCTAGACTGTTCCAAAAATCAATACTCCCTCAGCAGTGACACGCATCTTGTAAAGCTGCTTTTGAGAGGTAAGAAGACGCCATGCAAAAGCATTGGATAATTCTCTTTTCTGAGTCCCCCACCAGCCGAGTGGTATTGCAAGCATGTCAGGGCATGTCAGCGCATGTGCTCAAGGACCTTTTTGAGCGGATGGACGAAGTGTGTGTGGAGAGGGAAGTCTGTGCGTCCCATTTCGATCTCATCCTTTTGTTCACATTCCAACTCTCTAAATGTTTTGAATATGGACCAAGCTCTGCTTACATACTATAAAATACGTATTGTATATTTGCATATGCCTGCAGCTTGTAGAGACACAACTTGAGCTCTAAACCAAACGGGCAGCTTGAGTGAGAGCTGTGAATTAACCACAACACAATAGCATGTTTTATTGAGGCTAAAAGTTGAAAACATTTATTGTGAAACTTTCAGCGAATCGCAATCAGGCTGCTCATTAAAACCGGCCTTGCTTTCTACTGTACATACGCCTATAGCAGCTCTAAATCTACAGCGCCCATTCAGCAGGCGGCATTTGGATATATTACCATTTTGTCCCTGCATGTTCCCTTATGTCTGCCGGTAATAAAACGAGTACATTTTCGACCGCTAAATTCTCTTCTCCTGGCAACTCCTCCAGGCATCGGCATTTCAAGCTCCCGTTTGCACCTTTTTCTCGGCTACTTCCTGTCTAGCTTTCGGATTAGCTTTGTGACAATGGCGTCCAAAATGCTGGCCATAGCAGTCAGTGGCCTTCCCCGAGACCCCGAAAGTTCAATAGTGGCCGAAGACACTGTTTGAATGCGCTATTTGCTTAGCTTTTGTCTGGCTCCTAGCTTACATGCGTCACTAAGGCTATTCTTTCTCCATTGGCCCTCTATGCAAACATATTAACAGCTAGCTTATCACCGCTTGTACAGGCGAAGAAGGACTCCAAAAGACGGCAAACAGACAAAGGCGCTGGCCAAACTTGCCAAATGTCACCCAAACCTCACATCCATGCCATTGGCTGGTCCTCTCAAGCAGTCGCCATTGGTCAAAACATAATTTTAGTGCGATATAAAGCTGGGTATATACTGGCTTGGACTCTAAAATCACTTGACAAGCCTTCTCCAAGAGGTGCATCCATGAAAAGATATGCAAAGCTTTTGAAATCATATTGGATTGAAGACGAAGGCCAATTTTGGTGAAAAAAATGTTTTATTAGATTTTTTTTCTTTAATTGCATTATTTTAACTAGTAAGTTGTAGTAAAATGCTAACCAGCATGTTTTTTGGTAAACTGGTGAAAGCCGTGGTCATGATGTTGATGGTTTTTGTCGAACTGATGAAGACGGCTCCAACAGAGAGAGGTATGTTTAATGTTTATATTTAGATTTATTCTAATAATTCCTGTAATATGTTATGTTATACTGTCAGATGTATCTACACTTCACGTTCTAAGTCGTTTTGGTCTGGCAATGAAATAGAAAAAAAACTACAAAAATTATAGTCAACTTAAAAAGATTCAATGCAAAAACTATTTCTGAATGATTTGATAACTCTAAAATTACTTTTATTTGAGTAGACTAAACTCAAACTGTTGAAGCCAATTGCAATTGGAGCATGTTTTTCCTGACTTAAAAGGAGGATTTTCTATTCCTGGATGGATCATCAAGACTATTGGTCCTCCCGATTGTCAATCATTCTGGTGATACGTGCTCGTCAATTAAGACGAGAGAGCTTTGTTCAAAAAGAAAAGGAGGAGGTTCTTTCCTAAAATTTGGGAATCTTCCTATACACCTTTAACAAAGTGAATTACCTAATTTTTGTTCTTTGACCCAACAAAAATAATCTTTGGAAGGTAATTTTTTGTGCACAAATCAGACCACTCCTTGCTGCCTTCATCTCATCCGAAAACGTGTGACATGTTTGTGTAAGAAAGCGCCTTGTGATTCACTATTTGAGCTGAGAGCTGATTGGCTGAGTGAAGGTGGTCCTCTCGTTTTCACTTTCAGTCCGTAAAAAGCTGATTTAAAGATTTGACAGAGGCCAAAAATGAAAACTAGTGCTAGAACTGTCTCGAGAGCCTTGGAAGAGTTCCATAGAATTTATTACATAATAACCTTTTTTGTGGTTTGAAAGTTAGGTACCCGAGCTTCAATGACACATTGTGCAATTTTTCAAATGCGGTCCACAACAGCGCTTGTTGCTATGGAGTCACTGTAGGGCTTCATATGATATAAAACGTGTGAGTTATATAATCACATCTGTTTTGCACCAGGACTGGTCACTTGCTTGTCTTCAATGCAGATGCAAAATTGAAGCCATATTTAGGAAACAACATCTATTGGCTCAAGAAAATAAGGACCCTCCACCAGGAGTTATGTATCTTTCTATTTCCATATTCCTTTAAGGAAATTGTCTGAAATCAAAATAAAATGATGATTAATTCCGATCCAAATAAAAGCTGTTTGTTTCAATAGAGAAACAAAATAATGTTTCAATACAGAAACAAAATAATGTTTCAATACAGAAACAAAATAATGTTTCAATACAGAAACAAAATAATATTTCAATTCAGAAACAAAATAATGTTTCAATACAGAAACAAAATAATGATCAATTTAGAAACAAAATAATGTTTCAATTCAGAAACAAAATAATATTTCAATTCAGACACTGTGGCGTTCCCAATTGAGAGTCCCTCCAGCGATCTCTTCTTCTGGTGGGACATGCCTTGATCACCTCCCCAGAGAGACTTCCAGGAGGTATCTGGAACAGATGAGCCACCTCAACTGGCTCCTTTTGACCTTGAGAAGCAGCGGCTCTACTCCGAGCTCCTCCCGTGTGACTGAGTTCCTCAGCCTGACTCTATGGCAGCGTCCAGCCAATCTATGGAGAAAACTTATGTGGACATGAGTGGATAGCACTCACGCTTATCAGCAAGAAGGTCCTGAGTTCAGATTCTAGTTGGAACAGGGTCTTTCTGAGTGGAGTTAGCATGTTCTCCCCGTGTCTGCATAGGTTTCCTCCGGGTGCTCCAATTTCCCCTACCATTAAAAACATGCACAATAGAAGCTGAGCACCAACATCTGGAGATGGGTTCCTGAGCGCTTATCTACGCCGACCACTGCTTCTGACAGAAGCCTTAGTGGAATCAGGATGGGTCAAATGCAGAGGACAAATTTACCAAAGGGGGCAATAAAGTGCACGTTTACAGAAATAGATAGATCGATATATAGATACTTTATTGATCCCCGTAGGAGAAATTCAGGTGTCCAGGAGCAGCAAAAATAGAAAATAAAAATTACATGATCAGAAGTGAGGGAGGAAACATAGAGGAAACATAGATTCCATAAAATAAGATTTTAATAATTGATGAATTGCAGTGAGGAATGCACTATGGTCTATTGGGTTCATTCTACATTTATGTTTTTGGCCTAATTTTGCAGGCGTTGTGAGGCCAGTCGATCGTCACTCTCCAGAAGGACCCCTTAAGGCCGATGAGTTCCTCAAACTGTGGTTCCAGGGCAGAGCTGAAGACCGGACCACCACGTCTGGCCTTAGATCAGACCACAAGCAAAGACTGGAACACCACAGACCCGCATCGGACCCTCGAAAACCAGCCTTGGACCATCGCAAACTGGGGTCACACCATAGACCCAGTTCAGGACCTGTTCTAGACCATAAATCGAGTCCCAGTAGCAGGAGGGAGCAGATCTTGGAGATGATTTCAGCTCTGGAGGGAGTGCACAGAAGCATGAACAGCACCCTGAGCTCCAGGCTGACGGTGATGACGCGAGGTGAGGATCCTGCTTTCACACATTTACAGATTGTGTCCAAGTGTGCAGTGTTCCATTAGGATTATGATCTACTGAGTCATCCAAAGCCTTTTCTGACGGCCTGATCGGTCATGTAAAATCATGTCTTAAGAGTTTAATATCATTAAAACTGTGCAAACCAGGAGTTGTTTTGAGTTCCATCTATCCATTTTCTCTTTCCACACATCTACCGGTGGGACATGACAAGGAGGCATTCCAAACAGCTGGCTCTGCTCAGCGTGGACAACCCTCTATTCCGAGCTCCTCACACTATCACTGAGGGAGCTCCACTCTGGATCGCTTGTATCCGTGATCTCGTCTTTTACAGTCTGATACAGCTCTGAATGCAGACGCTACTCCCTCTTCCCCACAACCGTTTGATAAAGCTCTGAATGCAGACGCTACTCCCTCTTCCCCACAACCGTTTGATAAAGCTCTGAATGCAGACGCTGCTCCCTCTTCCCCACAGCAGTCACTGCACACACTGCACTGATCTCACGCTACCCATCCTCCAATTGAGTTTCAATGTGTTTTGGAACATAGGTAGAACTATTATTATATCAGTGTGGATTTTGTTCAATCAATCAATCAATCAATTTTATTTATAGAGCCCTTTTTTGTTGGTTGAATATTTGAAAAAGTGGAAAAAATAATGAAAATGTTTTCTCTTTCTTTTATTTGTAGCGAGTGGCAGACACCCGGGAAAGAAAAATAAATTGGTAAGTGTCAATAACAAACCCCAGTGTAGTGGCTTCAATGCAAAAATCAAATACTGCAGACCCTTTAAATACTCAACCTAAAATATTTCCTATGTTTGTGTGTATTCGTGTAGTTGGACAAAACCTTGTCGGACAAAGCAGCAGCAGTTTTGAAAGTGACCACAACGCCCCCCAGTGTCTCGAACAGCACAGTGACCCTTCCCCACAATGTGACCACAGCGAGGAGTTTGAAGAAGTCTGTGCCTCCGCTGCACAAGAAGCCCAACAAGAGAGGTGTGTAAGAGAGGATTTATACACACTGCCATATATATTTAACATCATGTTTTTCCTCTATTTACAGTGTGCTTTTGGAAATACTGCTCTCAAAACTAAAGACTATACAAGCAACGCAATGCCCAGTTCTGTCCCTTTTGACTTTGGCCCTATCATATATTTATTCCTTTTTAAAAAGCAGGATATTTTGGATTTAAATGGACGGAAATAGTCTGGTGCAAAATCCGCTGTGCTTCCGAAAGTATTTTACCATTCATTTTTCTCTTTAACATGTTACATTTGTTATACTTTCATAGTAGTTGCATGGTCACTAATATCCTTAAACTCGAAGATCTTCCAAATAATACATTGCAAAATGGAGATTTTTTTTATCTAGGTTTCCAAACAGGATCTTTAGACTAGAAAAGATGGATTTATTGGCACTGGAATTATGTCATAGTCATGTGCAACAAGCAAGATTATATTAAATATTAAGAAGAGTCTAGAAAAGTGAATTAAAATTCTTTCGGATGTATGGTAGACTATGCTGAGCTGCGTCCACTGAAGACAATATTTATATGTTTCCAGTTTGGAGACACAAATATTTATATATATTCAAAATACACTATTCATTTTGAAGATATTTATTCGGACATTTGAGTGTTTACGTTTCACTGTTTTGAGATTCTAAATGATTTTTCATTTGTTTCAATCCACGGCAGAATCATGAGAAAGTATGACTGTTAGCATTCATACTTTCTAACATAGCGATTAGCAATTTTCAACAATTTTTTTTATTAATTAGTCAATGACTTTTTCAAATTGTCAAAAGAGAGAGAGAATATTACAATCAAAATGTTAGACCCGCCCACTTTTTCTTTCTAAAAGGACCAAAATAAACAAAATCCTTGCCAGCCGAGCGCTCTCCCTGTTAGTTTAACTTTTCTCCCCAGCATATTTCATTGGTTGTGGTTAAAACAAAGAGAGGGACAAGTGGCACTAAACAGTTCCGAGTTCAGGCTGAAGCTGATTGTAAATTAAATCACAGTTTATTTCATTTCCAACTCGACAACTCTTCTCTGTCTTGTCTTTTGTTTTAACAGTTGTTGACGCTAGCTGTTAGTATAAAGTTAGCGTAACATTAGCTGATTAGCGGTCCCTCTCCGGCAGCCTATGTTACACACAATTTAGGTTCCCATACTCCCCACCCACAAAAAGCAGATTTATTTACATCAAAAAAACAAATAGTCTAGCTCTTAAGTGAAGCTGGGTTACCTATCTTTCTCTTTAGAAAAGAACAGAAAGAGTTTTTTTTTGTGTATATACAAACCAGACCACATCAGGCTCAGTAGAAAACATTTTATGTTCTGTAAAAATAGTCACTCTGTGACGCTTTAGGCTGATAGGGTATTAAGAGTGGTCCTCTCTTTTTCACTTCATCTGGTCAATGATCCTATTTTAATGGTGTATCTCTATGGTACAAATTTCTCATTATTCTGCCTCCCATGGATAACAGAAATTAAAATACAAAACAATTGACCACCACACACAAAAAATCCCATACCTTCAAAACGTGAAATACAAAAAACTCCTGGAATGAAGCTTGAACAGTTTAAAGATTTTTTTATATATTTATTCAAATCCCACAATCCCCTCCTCCTCCTCCTCCTCCTCCTCCTCTCCCCATGACCCAGTGCTGATCCCTGGTTGCTCTGGGATGCCGTCACCGTGGGAACTCGCTAAAATCCAGGCATTTGGTTCATGTGGGCAAAATGTTTAAGAGTCATAGTAGTAAAAGTTATAGTGCAGACGTAAAAATATCCAAACACAACTGCTCTGCTTTTGCTAGAGTTACACCTTTAGACAGGAACTGGTTCAATAGATAAGGATCTGGGTCAGAATACTTTGGTGCACTTTTACTTTTAGATCTATTGTATACATCACTATTGATTGGGCTGCAGGTATTGTCATTGCTTTTTTTTTAAATGAAAGACAAAAACGCACAAACTATAACTAGGCTATAATATTCCACAGAAAGAAGGTGCAAGTAATTTCTTGTCTTGTCAGAGAGGGACCGCTGATAGCTGAGGTTATGCTAACATTATGCTAAAATATGTGTTTGGCTTTGTTACTATGCTAAGCTTATATCTACTACTATTTCCACCAGCCCTACTTGGCCCCACTCTACTCGGCTCTACTCTACCCCGATTGGGAGCACTTTAACCAGCCCTGTGTAACTGGTACGGGCTTGTTCCTGGTTCTATCCCGGCCTAGCTGGTAGTGAAGTGCTCTAAATGTCAGTCCTGCTGGAAGCCATGGTTATTCAGAAATGACCCCGTACAAGGGTTTGTTGGGGGTATGTTGCAAGGATATGGTACCAGACACTACAGCGTAGTGGTAAGGTTGACTCCTATTGATTTTATTCTGGAATAAATACGTAGTCTCATGGTTTAAATCCGGTTAGTGGCTTTAACGTTACATTACCATAGAGTTGTGAAGAAGTTAGATTGAAATAGGTCAAACTTGTCTTGATTTTAGTCTATTGAGTAACATGTTTTCCAAAAGCATTTTGGTTTTTTAAGCAAACATCATTCATTTTGTCAGAATTTGCTTGTTTCTTAAGCAAGATTTAAGAATTATCATAAAAACTACTACATTCAAGCTCACAATCGATTGCCCTAGTTTTTTGCAACATTTTGAATATATTTTCCCCATTTCAAAGATATCTGATTTGTAATTGTGCTGCACTATAACATCTTTTAACATTTCACATAATTGTCAATTGGCAAATGACATCCAAACTCTTCCACATTTGACCATAAATCTATTCGCCCACGCATATGCCTGCAGTTTAGTGAGTTCACCTTTCTCCCTTCTGAGTTCAATTCCTGGTATGGGAAACTCTTGGTTGCCATGGGAGACTCTTTGGACTCCGGCTTTGAAATCCGCCCGGCGCCAGTCAGGACCTGGGACCTTTTTAGATGCTCATTAATTAACCCGAACTGACCAATCGCAGGCGACGAAGTGTGGAGCCGTGAAACACACTGACGGAGAGCTGCTCCTAATAAGACGACCGCACGGACTCCACGTGTGCGACCATTGCTTTATGAATAATGAAAATAAAGTCTTGCTCAAGCGTGATCATGTGACAATAAAGGATGATTTTATTTTTGTACTTTTGTACTTTTTTATTATTACTTCATACCAGCAGATGCAGTAAATAATCAAGTCCATGTTATAATCTGGTCTGGCTACTTGTAAAGAGTGTGATCCAATGAACTCTTCAATCTAGCAATTGTTTAGTTATGTTTCTTACACCTTGAAAACAATATGTTTTTCACCTATTTTTCACCAGTTTCATTGGCAGCCATCATTCTCACACACACACCAGATTAATTCGAGGAAATGTGAGTGAAGTGTCATGCCTAAGGACAAAGTGACAGCCGCAGCATTCCCAAGTCCCAATGTGACACCTGTCTCCCATCACAGTACTAACTAGGCCCCATCCTGCTTTGCTTCAGAGGTCTGATGGGCTCTGACTTGTGTTGTTATAATTTAATTTCTTGTGTTCTTATGGTTTGATTCTCTGATCTGTTGTCGGTGAATCGATAACTTTGTAGTCTTCCGAGATGACCGCTGTTGTGATTTAGGGCGATACAAACAAACAAAAAACATTGAATTGAATATTAAGCGTCTCAAATGTAACCTAACCTGGGCCTTAACTGTCATAACCTCAATAATATGTTAGAGGACTCCCATAACATTCAATGAGCTCCTCGGAATTCCCACATAACTTCAGCTTATGGGAAAATCTTCCCTGGCTCACGTTGCTCACAAATGAGATTTAGAGACTGGAAGTTCAAGAATGGAGCTCTAGCTCTTTGGGTCTTAAAACCCAAAGGCAAGAAACAAACAAGGGGTAAAATCATTTGTAATTTTATTTGAAAGTTTTTTTTTAAATCCACTGTAAGGCCAGAGAGTGACAATTCAATTAATCAGTATACAAAACACACACATTTATTTAGCTAAAGCCGCACTAGGAAAATTTTCGTCAACTACCCGTTTCCATGGAAACATCATTGCTTATCTTTCGTCACAGAAGTGGATCGATTATTGATAGTTCTTTACATATTTTATGTTCCATTCTATTGTGCAACATGCAAAGCAGTAATATCTCCCTGGAAACAAGCAGAAAAGTTCTGTAATGCAGCTTTAACGACAATAACAATAGTTATATATATATATAAAAAAGCTGCTTTGATTTTTTCATTTCATTTCAAGCTAAATATGTTCTTGTTTTTGTATACATTTTTAAAATCATGTCTAATTTTACCAAACTGCAAATACATATTTATTTATATACTCAAGTTAGGACTACAATTAGTTTAATTCTTGCAACAATCATGGTTGTAAATACTGGTCTAGATGCTCTATGTAACTGGAACAAACTGTTTCATTTATAAAAGACATAAATATCTTCTGGCACAAATTGATACAAGCACATCACCCCCACCCCTTTCTTCTATACATTTCTTATTTCAAACTAGTTAAATAGCCTCATTCCCACTGCGCAAAAACACACCATTTCCTTAGTGACATGGGCTGATTTAATCTGCCTAGGGCCTAGCCCCCCCTCACCCCCCCGTGGTGAAAAGCTGACGTGGGTCAAAACAACATGCCAACCTTTCCCACTGAGTGGATAGCACATTTGCCTCTCAGCAAGAAGGCCTTCTCCCCCTGTCTGCGTAGGTTTCCTCCAGGGGCTCCGGTTTTCCCTACCACTAAAAACATATCCAATAGGTCTGGCATGCGCCTACTGACGACCTCACTCCCTTCTCTGTGTGGAGTGAGAGACAAATGCCTACAATTGTAAAACGCTCTGTGACTCTGGTTTGACAAAGGCGCTACATAAATATGTCTTGTTTTTTATGTCTTCTAAACCAAAGGTATTGCACCTAAATGTTTGGGGAATAGCTTTAATATTCTGTCAACTGTGATATGTGATATTTCTTCTTCAATAGTGATTAAAAATGGATCCAGCCATTCTTTAAAATTCTTATAACTGAAGAAACATGTTCGATTTAAGGATGATAAAAAAAAGTGTGTCTTAACCAGCAAATACACATGGGAAATGTATCAAAAGAATGAAACCGTATTGTTTCATTTGATCTTCTTGGCTACGTCTATGTACGCAAAGTGTATTTCTCGTTCGTTGGGACAGGTTTTGGTAAATTCTTCTCTCTGGTAAGCGCTGGTCAGGTACCGGCACAGTGCTGTCATTTCCGCCGGGATCTCAAAGTTACGGTATTTCTTGGCCACAACCTTAAAAACAAAAATGAATAGTAAATTATCAGATTATAAAACTTTGCGTCCTTAACTGGCACTCTAAGGAGTCATAAATCTGGAGTCACATATTCAAATTGAAGGTCCAAACTGAAATCCTATGTTTCTACTGTGGGGACCTATGGAGTCTTTTTGAGTTTTACTTCCTAATATGTTTCACCAGTGTCTCCCCGGTAAATCCCATGTGCTCTTCCCGCTTATTGTCAGCTCATTGTGTTTATTCAGTAGTTCTTGTCTTGCCCCTGCTCCTGTGTTTATTCAGTTGAGTTGTGTGTTTGTTTATTTCTGTCCTGTATATGTTTGCTTGTGTTGTAAACGACAGTCAGTCCTAAGCAGCTCTGAAACAGTTGTTCTTTTGTGCTATTTTCTACTTGTAAATTTTATTGCAATATAGTGTTCACGGTTTTACGCTGATCCAGAGCAGCGCAGAGAGGATGCACGGTCCCAATCAAGCAGATCACGCGTAAATCTACGGGGATGAATAAAGTATCTATTTATCCATCTATGTCATATACCTTAAGGATGTGCAGCTTGGGGAGCAGGTTGCAGTCGGCCAACGTAAGCTCGTTCCCATCCAAGAAACTTCTGGTGGATTCTGGGACGTCGCCCGATTCATCTGCGTTGATCTCATCGGGTAACGGGCTCCTGAGGTACTCATCCAGCCGGCGCAAGGACTTCAGCAGGGCTTTCTCTAAAGCTGGATACAAAACAAGTCAAAAACACACACAAGACATCCACAACCATCCTTTTACCATCTCTGTGAGCATGAAAGCAACACGGGCAAATACACTGGGGTCAAAAGTATGAGAAAGTATTAAAAGAATGAGAGATGTCTGTAGTTTTCATCAGGGGAATGGGCCAAGATATCAGCAAAATATAGGTTTCCCAAGAGATTACAGGAGATAACAGTGGATAACGTTTCCATTATGTTTGGACCTGCATCGGTTTTTCAACAAGTAGGAAGACAAAGTTGCAAGGCGGGTTTGATGCAGTTTTGACACGACAGCCCATGTGGCTATGGAAAGGGCGTGTTTTCGCGCAGTGGGAATAATTCTATTGGTTGTGGAAACCCAGTGAAATCTGTTATTGTGTCCATAATAAGTATAGAGATGGACTTTTGTTATTGATTAAAAATACTTATTTTTTCACCATCATTTGCAAATACGTTTATTAAAAACATTAAAAATAAAAGGTGAATCATTTTCATCGTTTCAGGATTATTTTACTTCATGTCTTACAGTTGAGGTAAACCTATGAAGAAAACTACAGACATCTCTCATCTCTATTTAGTGGAAGGACTTGTACAGTAAGTGGCAGACTAAATACCTCAATGCCCAACTGTATATGTATTGAATCTTACTTTCGTTGATGTCTTTTCTTGGGTTCTTGATGTAAGCCGAGAATTTTGCAAAGACGTCAATCCCTGCGGTGTTGGACTCTGGATGCTTGGCTGCCAGTTTGGGAAAGCTGAAATCAAATGCATTCAACATCGTGAACTAGCTTATCTTAGATTTCTATGGGGGTATTCTCTTCATGGGGGTCACATTGGGATATCGCCTTATTGTAGAGGGCCAGGCGCATTGTCATGTGATTGATTTTTTATTTGGGTTAACAAAAAACAACTTCAAATTATTACTAATAACATTTTGGGTAAACAACAGGTTAAATGTATAACAAGCCAAAGTAGGCTTGTTACAGGCTTTCATTGAGTATTGACTTGTGATTCATATAAATCATGGATCTATAATCATATCTGGATAGGGTATTACTACCTTATAGGTCTCCCAACTATGGGCACAGGGGGCGCCTGTGGCACTGCAGACTAAATTAATGCGGGCTACCCAGTAAAATGTCCCAGAGAATGTAAACTAAAACAGCTCCACCTCAGCTGACAGAGAACCTACAGCGTTAATAAAGATCAGATTTTGTGGGGATTTTAGTGTCCCTTGTCATCCTGTCATCCTTATTGTTAAATCCCTCAGTTTTCTTTAAATTCACACAAACTCAGCTTGTTTTTTCCCCGCTCTGGCTCAGCTCTAGCTTCGCTCTGATCAGCAGCTATGATTGGTTAAAAAGCGTCCGAGCCCTTCTGTGCATCTGCATGAGAGCCACACACGCGTAATTGGCGCAAAGCATCATGGGAGCTCATCCACTGCGCAGAACTGGGAGGACCAGATGATGCTCATATATAGGCGAGTTCCGCTACTCTCTCTGCCCCCATGGCTGTCCCATGCGCTACTGAGCACAAGCCATGGATTTGAATAGATCGCCATCTTGGATTACCAGGGCTTGATATAAATTAGCAACAGAATAATCAGAGGTTACTGGGTGGGAACCGTCTGGGGACCACAAAGAAATGAGAATCGGATACGGATGTAACCCCCGGGCCTCACTTTGCCCAGGTCTGGATTACCATAACACATGGCTTTATTAAATGTAAAAAGTTAATTTTGTCTTCTTCTACTTCTGTGGTTGCCGATTGCGGTCAGTCAGACAGATCTCACAGATCCCTCACACTGACCGCATCCCTCGCCGTGTTGTGGTTTCTGGAGAAGTGAATTGCCTCTCGTATATATCTTTTGTATTTATGTTCTTCTGTTCCTACTATTTTTGCATTGTCCCAGTCCATTATGTGATTTTCTCTTTTGCAGTGGTCTGATATTGCCGATTTGAGATGCAAAAATAGTAGGAACAGCAAAACATAAATACAAAAGATGGATACGGGAAGCGATTGAAATCAGGAAGCAGGGCGCACGGACCATCAACAGAGACGAGGGGGCTTTCACCTTGGCTCACACTTGGGATTCACTTCTCCAGAGACCACAACGCGGCGGGGGACGAGGTCAGTCTGACGGATCTGTGAGATCTGTCAGACTGAGCGCATCCGGCAACAACAGCTGATAAGAGGCGCGTCACACCAACACGTGTCACCTCTGATGAAGGCGGAAGTGTACCACCGAAACATGTCAGATAATTAAGCTGTACTAGCTTTCTTTACTTTCTTGTCTTATTAAAAGAACCTTCAAAGCCTTTAACATCGCTTTATTGCTCGGAAACATGAATTCTTACCGTGGCGGGCTGAGTTTCTCTTCTAAAAACTCCTCGATTTTGTTGACGTCCACTTTGACTTCTCCGTTGAACGTCATGAAGGGAGGGTTAGTGCCTGGGGCCAGGTCCTGCAGATCAGCGGGCTTCCTGTACAAAGTATACGCATGTATTGTCACAAGATGTAAAAAATGTTTGTAACAAATGTTGTTATAAATGTACCGTTTGAGGTCGACTGTGGTTACATTGAAGATGACGCCCTTTAACCACAGGATCATGAAGAGCCTCTGAGAGAAAGGACAGTTCCCGATACTTTCCCCATCACTGCCGGCCTAACAACAGAGAGACAAAATGATCCAATGTGCTTATTACAATATTAATATACTATATATTAATATTAATTACTAATATTTATATTACTGTACTTTTCATATTTCGGCTTCCTACTCCATGTGTTTTTCTGCTTTCAGGACAACATATCAACCACATTTACTGTATTATTCAGACATGGAATCTCTCTAAAGCTCAAAAAATAAAATGAGCTATAACAGTAAAAATATCTAAACATTTGATAATACACAAAAACTCTAATCAGAAGTAAAAACAATCTAATAATATTTCAAATTCTATTTCTAAGATTACAGTTAGAAAGCGATTTGTTTTAGACAATTTCTCTCAAGCACTACTCAACAAGAACTGAAAAACTGACAATTTCTATTTCTCTGCTTTATCTCTTACCTTGATAAACAACTCTATTTTGGGTAAGTCCAGTTTTTGAACAGCTGACTCGTACCAAGACATGTTCAGAATGTGTAGTCTTTGCGGGGATAGAAGGAATATGTCTCTATTATGCAGCTTTCTGGTGTGTTGTTGTGTTGAGTTGGTATTTTCTCTGTCGCCTTCAGACAATGATGCTTTTGTCACGAGTTTGAATTCAACATGCAGCGGAAAACCTCTTTTATCAATCAACAAAAATGAGAGAAAGACTGAAATCTGGGACTGAGGACTGAGTTCATATTTCAGATTCAGTTTAATTGCGGTAAAACCACATGTGCAAAAGTATCCCAATGTGCACCAGACAATTACATAAATAAAACAAGTTAAAATGTACGAGAAACAATTGTTTCTGTGAAACCTATCCCCAAAAACAGTTTCAAATGCAAGAACATTAAAATTCTTTGTTCCAACTCATAACAGTAGAAGCTGTTAGCATACCCAGATGTGCTGTATCTCAGCAAAACGATATCTTCTGCCAGAGGGATGAAGATGGAACTGTGTCGCCCGAAGAGTCATTTAAAATCTTGATTTAAGAAGCTGGATTTTTGCTCAAGTTGAAAATCAAAAGTATTAAACTGAAATTTGCTAAAAGCGTTAACTGCTGGTTAATAATTTCAGAAGATGCATAGACATATTAGAAATAGTCTCAACTAGTACAGCCAAGTAAACCCCATTTTATTCAGGAGGACTCCACAGAATGCTGGGAGAAAGTGTTTTTGATAAGGTCTGCAACAAACAATGACTCTCCCAGTCGACTAATAGTTAAATAAATCTCTATATCAATAAATAAATGGGTAGGTATACAATACTGCAGTAGGCTTAAACCAGGACTGAATCAGGACTAAAGGAGTGACTTTAGCAGGACTTCACCAGGACTAAACCCACAACTGAGCCAGGACCAAACCAGGACCGAACCATAACCAACCAGGTCTAAACCAGGACAGACTCAGGACTAAACAGATCTAAACCAAGAATACACTATGACTGAACCAGGACTGATCAAGTCAAACTAGGACTAATCCGAGATTGAGCCAGGACTGAACCAGGACTGAACCAGGACTGCAGACAGATTTCTCTTTGTTTGCAGCAGCGTGGGCGTCTGTGACATTTCTGAGCCTCATATCAGTGTGAATGTGCAGCGTGTGGAATTATTTTTTTTGCTACAAAACTCACAATAGTGCCACAACCCAACAGCTCTTCAGACCATAGCTCCACCACAAGCTGAGATAAAGCCGGCTGTATCCATAGTTCAGCTTTGACTCACTTGACTATGAGTTGTAGCCAGATGAGAAGCGAGAATACTCAAATAACTATACAACCCTGTAGACCAAATTCAAGCCTTCAGTCCTCCAAGTTTATGAACATAAATGAGATCAACAAAATGAGCTGTTGAAAAGCATGTAGAAATTGCAATGTTTAGATTCGCAATGTAGAACCCTCACTCAAACAAGTGAGGTTTCTTCATTGCAAATCTAAACCATGTCTTAATCAGATTAACCAAGGTAAACTGAGTCAGATTAAATGCTACATGCTTTCACTGTTTCACTGCCAAAAACTACATTTGTATATTATCAAACAAGATGTACTGCTTATTGGTGTATATTCAATTCAATTCTGATACAACAAAAATTACACAAAAACCTTGAGTAATGACTGCATATATGTCATGACCCCAAAACCTAGCAATTTCCCGTAGGTTTTCTAACTTTCCTCTGCCCTCCTCCAGTCTAATCTTTTCATAAAGCCTTCATTGTGAGCTGCTGCTGCTCAGATATTAGGAAACTTTTGCACCCTCTAATACTCTTTGTCACCTTGATCCCTTTTGTTCAAGAATTACCTCAAAGTGAACCACATATTCCAGTAATAACGTTAGTCATACCTGCTAGGAAAGAAAATTAATTGAAAGAGATGTCAAATCATTGTAGCTAACATTGGTTTGAATGGAAATGGAAATAAGGATCTGTATACATAACTATCATGCTAGGGTGACTTCATTGCTACTTTATGGCTTTAGATTAGAATACGACAGTGTAAATGGGATTAAGGCTGATCACTCCTGCTCAAAGGTAATCAGCACATGTCAAGCACAACAAGTTTAGTTACTGTGACCAGCCTGCTGACCAATATACCTCCATCTATCTATTTATGTATCTATCCATGTATCTATCTAACTCTATGCGCAAAATATCTATAGGCCTACGTAACTAACCTCCTGGCAAGACACAAATTGATCAAGAGAGGTGGACAGTGCTATCCTCGAGTCAAAAAGACTCGCCACAGTGATTAACAGTAAAAGAAAAATCAGGGTCTATCTTATCCAGGGCTGGTCAAGTCAGGAAAACTACTCAAAATTCAGCTAGAAAAATGTATTTTTTGTGTTTTTTGTATTTTTTTATCACTGTGGCGGGACATTGACTCAAGAATAACACAAGGGGTAAAAAACATAAAGGTCAGAGTTTAGCACTTGCTGACCTGCGGACTGCATTCAGTTTATATAACAATTGGTCTGCCTATCCAAACCATCTAGTCTAGATGCTTTTTTATCATTGTCCATGTTTTCAATTGCCATAACAATATCTTTATACCATTTAAAGAACATATGCACACAAATTTTAGTTTAAGTCTCAATGATTAACAGCCTTGAAATGTATGCAGCAAGAAGTACCTCTTGTTTCAACTTTCTTGTTTACCATAAAGATGCTTTTCAGGTTGAGGAATTGCTATTATATTAAAATCATTTTGCTCTATCTTGGCCCCCATAAACCTTGCACTAACATACCTTGACATATAGAGAGATGGTGCATCCTTGATCATCTGACGTCGAACCATCTGCTTTCATTGGCAGCAATGGCGTGTCCGCTTTTTTTGTGTGAGAAATTAATTTGATCTCATCTTTCCAATCATCAGCAAACAGCTCCTTGTGCGGCACGTACGATCGGCCATCCTCAAACAAAACTACTCTCTTCTTCTTGACATTTTGGTCTCTTTTTCTGGGCAAAGCCTCATCCTTTATGACTGATTTCAACTCTTGAATCCAGGCATCTTTACTTGGTGTGCACTTTCCTTCCATCTTGTCCCATGAGTCTTTCTTAACAGGTTTCAATTCCTTCCAATCTTTTGTCTCAGGTGTCACCTCCTTTGGTTGATCAACTTTAATCCAGTCATTGTCTTTTCGTCTTGCTGACAACCTCTTGGCCTCCCCTCTTATTTGTTCTGGTTCAGTCGACTCTCCTCCATTTTCCATTGCTTGCTTCAACTCCTTCACCTTTCCTTCCAAAATATCAACATCTATTGTCTCTTTGACCGCATCTGGAAGAGTTTCAAGAACTGTTTCTTGATTGCCTTGTTGGTTTTCTTCAGAATCGTCATAAATATCATCTAGAACAGTCACAGGTTCGCTTTCGATGTCTTGCATAACATCTTGGATCAAGGTTTTATCCATTGAAACATCTATTTGCTCTTCTTGAGAACTTTCCGTGATAGAATTAGCTGTTTCTTTCCCTTCTTCTTCAATATCTTTCATAATTTCTTGCCTACAAACTTCATCAATCACCTCACATGCATCCAAAGCTTCCTTTTCTCGTGTCATCTCTTCTTGCATAGTTTTTCTGACTTCTAAACTTTCTTGTGTGTCTGGATCACATGTGTCTTCTTGAGCATCTTGGCTGGCTAACTTGGTATCACCACCTGTTTCTCCTGTCACTGTTGCTTCTGTCAACGCCAGCGCATTAGGTGCATCTTGGCTTATCTCCTCATTCAGATTTAACTCTACAACTATGGCATCCTCAGCTGCCCCATTAATACTTTCAGCAATATCATCAACAAAGCCAAGTTCTTGATCATTTTTCACTTCTTCTATAGGTTCACCATCTTCCAATTTTTCAATGTCTTCTAAATCTTGGTCACCTTGGAAGCTCTCTTCAATTGTGTCAGCAGCATGAACTGGCAATACATCTTGGCAAGGTTTATCCAAATCTTGTCTCTCAATCTGAACATCACACGTTTTGCCAGTCTCTCCTCCATCCATGCCTTTAGTCCCAATACACTTTTCAGATTCCTCAATGTTGTTGTCATTAGATTCTCTGTCTGCGATATTTTCATCCTCTAACAGCAAATCGTCTTGGCAGCTTTCACAGACAAGCTCCTCAGCCTTTTCTTCAGCAAACTGAAACATTGAATCGTCAATTTTCTCAATTTGACCATCCTCTGTTTCTGTTTGTAACCCGTCACAGATTTCAGTTTGTTCATTGCTTTGTATTTCTAGCACTTCTTCAACTTCCTTGTTATCTTTTGTATCATTGGACATCATCATCTCATGTTTTTCAACCTCTTCAGACCAATTCAAATTTACCTTTTCTTCCAAAAGAGGATTTTCCAACATTTGTAACTCATCATTGGCTGTAGAAATAATCGCTTTATGTTCTAACACTATCTGTTCTTCCACTTTTCCTTCCTCAATCTCCAAATCGGGACTTACGTTCTCATTTTCTCCATTGTTTTGGCTTGTATCTATTGCTTCACTACAAGATACAAGCACATTTTCTGGGTCTTGCTTTGCGATTTCTTCAACAGATTTCTCCTCAGCATATGCATTAACACAGCTATCTTTACTCGGTTCAATGTCTTGCTCAATGTCTGCCATTGTGTCCTTGCAAGACGCCTGTACAGATTCATTTTGGGTTAATTCTTCAATGTATTCTTTTTGTACACCATTGTCAATCACATTGGCATCCAGAGTGTCCATATTGTTTTCAACCTCAGCTTCAGGTAATAAACCAACATTACTTTCTGTAATGTCTTTCTCAAGTTTTAAAGTATCCTTTTCGGCAAGTTCCATTGTCTTTTCCTCCAAATTTATATCTATGTCCAATACTTGTAGATGCTCAGTTTCTTCCACCACTGCATTCACAGCAGTAGCCTCCTCATCTCTGTTTCGTAACTTGTTAGCAATATGAAATTCCTGCATTTCAACGCCATTTTGTCCGTCTGCGAGTTCAGTTCTAGGTTCGCTTGACATAAAATCG